TATCTATATCTATTTTTTTAGTCATAATTTTCCTTTGTTTAAGTTACTTTCTCTACAGTAATCTCTTACTGCTTCTTTTGCAACTTATACAAACTATATTACAGACCCTATAAATCGTCTAGAAAATTGCATAGAATATTTATTAATTAATCTATTGCTCTTTTAATTATACTTTTTTCTTTTGCAATTTTACTATTTAATTGATTTTTTGATGATATCAAACTTTTTATTTGACTCTGTGTTGTATCTAGTTTTTTAATCTTCATATTTGCTATTATTGTTGCTTTATTATCTGCTTCTATTTTTTGAAGTGTTTTTTGTTCTATTAGTTGTTGTTGTATTAAGAATTTGTCGTTCTTTTCTAGCAAACTATTTTGTATGATATTAGTCCTTTCTATTTCTGAGGTAATATCATGGTCATAATTTAAAATAATTTTACCAATTTGTTCTCCTAATTTAGGGGCATATTTTATTGTTAAAATAGAAGCTGGTACTATAATAACGGAAAAAATAGCACCAGCTGTTATAACACTGATCGCTCCTACTGCTAAAGCACAAAATGCAGTTAAAATTTTGCTGGAAGCTTGTTTAAATAAATTAGTTTTATGATTAAGATTCTTAGTAAGATTTAATATATTATTAATTTCAACATTAACATAGTCGTTTATTTCATTCTGATTTCTATATTTTTTTAAGGCATACATTAATGTAGTATGAAATAGTTTGGGATGTAGTTGCATATAATTTATTAGTTCATAACTATTTTTCCTTGTAAATAAATCTTTAAATATCAATTTAATTGTTTCTTTATCATCAGAATTTACATTAGAAAAATTGATATTTATTAAATTATCGATTACTTTATCTTGTAGCTGTTCTTTGTTTAAGATATTATCCTTATCTTTATATTCTACATCTTCAGGTGAAATGGCAATTGCAAACAACATTAGGACTATTGAAAAGCTATCATCTGTTATAACTCTTTGACCAAGAAAAATCTTTAATTTCCGAATAGATTCAGTAATATAATCTTTAAGTACAGGCTTAGAGTTAAGTCTAGTAACATAATCAATAGCAATTATGTTTGCTAATGCTAAACATGTAGATTTAGTAATATTATTAATTAAGTGTTTATATATGCTATCTTGTAATATAGAAATATTTAAGTTATTTAAAATTTGCATATTTTACTTACTAATTGTTATTTCCCTAATACGCATGTTAAGTTTTGTATAAATCAGATCTGGATATCTTTCTGTTGAAAGTTTATAAATAATTTTAGGTTCTAATAAAGTTTGTTGTTGTATTTGTATAGATATTACGACGCTATTTTTAGGCATATAAGAATAAGCATCTTTTATTATTGCTAAAAGAGTTGGAAAATTTGGAGCTGCAAATTTCAAGTTAACATCATAATTCTTAATTTCAATCGTATCCTTCTTTTTATTCGTATTTAGGAATGATTGTGTCATTGTTGTATCAATAGGTTCTGCTAAATTGTACTTATTAGAGATTGTACTAATTGAATTTATTATTTTTATGCGTTTTAAACAATTTTGTATAGGAGGAATATTCAATAGTTTTGTATATTCTTTATAGGTTTTCAATATCTTATTTTTGGAATTAATTATAGAGTATAATTTTAAAGTTTCTTCAGTTAAAGACTCTTGAGCATTTTGACTATCTAGCATAGATTTTATATAATCTTGATTAAAATTTTGTATAAAATAAGCAAGTATTAATATCAATAAGAAATACATAACTAATTTAAAAAATATTATATTTTTTAAATGAATAATAAATCTTTCTAACATATTTTTACCCTTTTTGATCTGTAAGGATTATAGATATTGGTATTATTATTTTATCTGGTAAATCAATTATTTGATCTTCAAATATTATAAAATTAATATCCATAGTGTTAAATATACTATGCAATTGTGCAATATGTTCTTGTAAAAGTTTTTTTGCAGTTTCAATAGACAAGTTATTACTAATAAATTTAAGTAATATTTCAATTTTTATATATTGATTTGATGTTACTAACAAATTATCTAAGTTTAGCCTTTGCCAATTAATTTCATCTAAGTGCAGTCTTGAATCTAAAGTTGTTAAAAATTTTTCTAATAAATCAAATGGTGTTGGTATAGGTATTTGTAATAATGCTTCAAGGACATATAAATCAGTTAAATTAGTAGCATTTTGAATATATGGGTATTTTTCTTTTATACTATAATATTCTTGTTTAACATTATAATATTGTTCATTAAGAGAAGTAAATTCTTCGTAATTTTGTAGTGTTGTTATTTTAATTGTACAGACTTTAAATAGTAGTATTATTATAATAGCAATAAAGGGCTTAAATATAAGCGAGTTAATCAAAGTAAGTTTAGCAATTGATTTTAGATAATTATTAGATGCTAAGAAATTTTTATTTTGAGAAAATAATTTAACAATTGTAGTATCTGAAAATTTGCTATGTAGTGAATCTGTATCTGTTTCAGTTAATAATGTTTTTTCATGTGATATAGTTATCACTTTGTGTTCACCAAAATGTAATTGTTGTAGTAGAAAACCTAAATTTTCTTCTACTACACAAATTATACATACTTGTAGGTTTAAACTAGTAATATAATTTTTATAATATATCAAACGTTCATTTACTTCTTGTTCGATTATACCTTGAATATATGAGTTTGATTTGTCGTGTGGATACTCAAATGTCTGACTAAATATTATATTATTTTGATGTTTTACAATAAATTTTATTCCACTCGATTGCAAAATTAATACAAAAATTTGCAGATGGTCAATATATTGATTGTATTGAACATTTTGTATAATTCTATTAATAATGTTTTTAAGCTCTAAATCTAAAAAATAAATCCCGCTAAATTTTAATGATCTATTTGAGAATACATATTCTAATAGTGTACTTAAAGGGGGTTTATATGGTGTTGATACAAATAAAGTATTCCAAACTTCACTAGTATCTCTAGTAATATTATATACATAGTGAGCTACAATATCATCTTTGGCAAAATATTCATCAATGAATTTTTCAATTGGGTTAGTTTTTACTATTGATTGTAATATTGGTATTAAATCATGTCGTATTTTGCATTCAGAACTTGACAATAAGAAAAAAATATGAAAATTTTTGAACTTATTAAAAAATAATGTATATGGTTCTAGATCTTCTTTATCTTTAAGTGGAACAAACAATTTATCTATAATTTTGTCTCGAACAAAAGCACTAAGAAACACTCCTTTATCTCCTACAAGAATAATAATATTCTTACGGTATAAAAAATAAACAATGACTTTATATAATTGTTTAACAAAAAACTGCATTCTTTGTGATTTAAATATATTTATCATAAATTTAGTTCTTTGCTTATAATGACTATAATTGCTCTTTACTATATATTAACAAATGGTTGTAAATAATCCTAAGTTTAAAATACTTCTCTGTTTAATTTTAAGATAGAAATTTTTTAAATTTAGTATATTTTATACATAATATGCACTAAAAAATATGATGTAGTTGTAACTGACTTCTATAAAAAGATAAAAATCAATTTTATAGTATTAAAATTGAGCTCCAATTAATATATTTAGTTTAGTAACTAAAGTTAGCTAATTAAAAATCTCTCAAAAAATTTGATAAGATATTGTTTATATAATATAATTAATAAATTATAAATGATATAAATAGCAAACTCATGCTTAAGTTAAAATATTACTAGATTTTTGTTTTTATGGAAATAATTTTATTAAAATTAATTAAACTCATTACAAAGTATAATTATATTTTTTATTGTTGTTGTCTTAAATTTTCTTAAGAGCAAACACATTTTGGTTCTAAAATTTGGATAAGTTATTATCCTAAATTGAATTTATAATTCTTTAACATCAACGTAATAATATAAATTATTAATATTTTTCTAGGAATAACACTCAATGAACCAATTTACTACTGAAAAGATTAGGAGCAAATTTATCAATTACTTTGTAACAAATAATCATGTACATGTATCAGCAAGTTCTTTAATTCCTCATAATGATCCAAGTTTAATGTTTGTTAATTCTGGTATGGTACAATTTAAAAATGTTTTTACCAATCAAGAAATACGAAATTATAACAGAGCTGTTACTAGTCAAAAATCAATTAGGGCAGGTGGAAAACATAATGATCTTGAAAATGTTGGTTATACTGCAAGACATCACACATTTTTTGAAATGTTGGGTAATTTTTCTTTTGGTGATTACTTTAAAGAAGAAGCAATTTATTATGCTTGGAATTTTTTAACCAAGAAATTGGGAATATCAGCAGAAAAATTATATGTAACTATATATCATAATGATGATGAATCTGCTATATATTGGCAGAAAATTGCTAACCTTAGCGATGAACGTATTATTAGAATAAAGACTAATGATAATTTTTGGTCGATGGGTGATATTGGTCCTTGTGGTCCATGTTCAGAAATTTTTTACGATCATGGAGATCATATAAAGGGGGGATTACCTGGCACTAAGGATGCAGATGGTGATCGTTTTATTGAGATATGGAATATGGTATTTATGCAATTTGAGCAATTGGGCCCTAATAACAGAATTACATTACCAAAAAAATCTATTGATACTGGTATGGGCTTAGAACGTATTAGTGCTATTATGCAAAATGTACATGATAATTATGATATAGATTTATTTAAAGCATTAATATCTTATACAGAAGATTTAATGAAGGTAAAGGCGGAAGGAGAGGCTAAATTTTCTTATCGTGTTATCGCAGATCATTTACGTGCTAGCGCTTTTCTTATTGCTGATGGAATTATCCCTTCTAATGAAGGACGAGGTTATGTACTAAGACGTATTATGCGTAGAAGTATGAGACATGTTCACATTCTTGGGGGGAGGGAACCAATAATTTATAAATTATTACCTAAATTAGTAGACTTAATGGGAGATACTTATCCTGAACTTAAAAGAGCAGAGAATTGTATAAGTAATATATTAAAACAGGAAGAATTAAGGTTTAAAGTAACTTTAGAACGTGGTCTTAAATTACTTGATGCAGAAACAATAAATCTTAGTAAAGGTAAGCAACTATCTGGAGAAGTAGCCTTCAAATTATATGATACATATGGTTTCCCACTTGATTTAATTGAAGATATATTAAAAAACAAACAAATTGCAGTTAATGTGAATGATTTTAATATCAAAATGCAAGAACAGAGAGAAAGGGCAAAAAAATCTTGGTTTGGTTCTAGTGAATCTAAAGCTGATAAAATTTGGTTTGATATTAAATCAAAAGTTGGAAGTACAGAGTTCTTAGGTTACACATTAAATGAAGTTGATGGTAGAGTACTAGTTTTAGTTAAAGATAATATTTTTGTAGATGAAATAGTAACTGTAGATGAACAATTTATTCTTATTAGTAATCAAACTCCATTTTATGGTGAATCTGGAGGACAGATGGGTGATATAGGAAATATACAATCCATCAATAGTAAAATTAAAGTAATTAATACCATTAAATATCTTGGTTCTATTATTGCTCATATATGTCTTTTAGAGGAGGGAAAAATTGAGGTAGGAGATAATGCTCATTTTAAGATTGATATAAAATATCGTAATAATTTGAAAATTCATCATTCAGCGACTCATATACTACATTCAGTATTACATGAAGTTCTTGGTAAACATGTAATACAAAAAGGTTCGCTTGTTGCGCATGACCATTTACGTTTTGATATTAGTTATCATACTTCTTTATCCAAAACAGAGATTATTTTAATAGAAGATAAAGTAAATCAAATTATTACTAATAATTATCAAGTTGATATAACATTAATGTTTGCTGATGAAGCAATTGAGATTGGTGCTATAGCGTTATTTGGTGAAAAATATGATAATGAAGTAAGAGTTGTTTCTATGGGAGAAAGTATAAATGGTAAATCATATTCTCTAGAACTATGTGGAGGAACACATGTTAATAGAACCGGTGATATTGGATCCTTTAAAATTATTAGTGAGAATGCTATTGCAGTAGGTGTTAGGAGAATAGAAGCAGTATGTGGTGAATTTGTATTAAAGTTATTAAGACAAAATGATAATATAATTGAGTTAATCTCATCTACTTTAAAATCAAATAAGAAAGACCTTGTTGATAAGGTAAGTAGTTTGACTATAAGTAAAAAAGAATTAGAAAAAGAATTAATGAAGTTGCAAATTGCTTTGCTAAATTTGGATATAGATCAACTCGAACATAAATCTACAGATATATTGGGCATAAAACTTATATATAAAGTAGTACAAAATCTTGATAATAAAGTACTACGTTTAGCTGCAGAACAATTGGCAAATAAAATAAATAATCTGGTTATATTATATGTAAATAATTCTTCTAACAAATTATCAATTACTATAGCAGTTAGTAGAGATATTAATAATATATTGAATGCGGGAAGTTTAGCTAAAGAACTTTCTATATTTTTAGGTGGGACTGGTGGTGGTGGACAGAATACTATTGCGCAAGCTGGTGGTTTTGATATAAACAAATTAAGTGGATTAAAAAATAAAATAATAAATTTAATTTATACAAAAGTAAATTGTTAATATGTTTATGTTTTACATAAGCTAGTTCATTATAGGGTAGTTTAAAGATATTATAGTGATATTTTTGGCACGTTTTATACTTAATAAATATGATTAGTTAATATTCTAGTCTATTAACTAATAAAACTATAGTATATTTTACTACATATGAAGTTTGCGGTTTAGGTGTAGTCATGTTTTATATTCATCTAAATTTGTGAAGTTACTTATTTGTGATAATTAATATATTAATTTGTGGAGTTTCTTATGATAATAAAAAAAATTACTATAGCTTTTTTAGCTTTGTTTGTTCTTTCTGCTTGTAATATGACAAAAAGGTCGCATCCTCCTTGTCATGAAGAGGCTGTAATACCAGTTGAAGAATGTTCATTAGCGGCTGATTTCGAAAGAAATGTTGGTGATAGAGTATTTTTTGGGTATAATAAGTATGATCTTTCTCATGATTCTAAGACACTTTTATGTAAACAAGCAGCTTGGTTAAAGGCTCACCCACATGTAAGAGCTACTATAGAAGGGCATTGTGATAAAAGAGGTACAAGGGAATATAACTTGGCTTTAGGTTCAAGAAGAGCTAATGCTGTGTATGAATTCTTAATACATCAAGGAATTTCAGCAAATAGGTTAGATACTATCTCTTATGGTAAAGAAAGACCAGCTGTTGAAGGTGATAATGAAATGGCTTATAAGCAAAATCGTAGAGCTGTAACTGTAGTAATTTCTACAAGATAAAGAGTTCCAATCTTTATTCTTTAATTAAATTAAAAAGGCCGGTATGTACTATTGGCCTTTTTTATTATTAAATTTAGAATCTATCTGTAAACAGAGATAGTTTTAATAATTAATTTTTAAAATATTAAATAATCATATTTATATTAGAATCAAAGCCAATAATACCATCTTTACTTCGATTATCACCTTGTTAATCTCTTTGTCCTGTACAAGTCGTTAGAACATTTTTTTTAGAAGAAGCAATACGTAGCAGTT